GTACTAGTGTTTGGGGTTGGTTTATTGTAATTATTTTGGGGGGCATTACATACACATCTCCCGGAGGCCTCTAATCAACTTGCTCACCCCTCGGAGCATAGGCCTAAAGAATTGACTGAGCCAAAATGGCTCTGTGGTTAGCCCTCAAGGCTTGAATAGACTGAGTTGGCTGATAGGTCCGTGTCTGCCTCGAATTAGACGCACTACATATACCACCTGACTGAGGACAAAACCTCCTCAAATGCCCAAACTGCCCACACTGATAACAGGTAGGCAGCTGCCCTCTCCTTTGGCCCTAACTCTGAGAACGAGTTGAAGGCAATGCAGACTGTTGCCCTTTTCCTCTCTATGGGCAAGCTAGAGACTTGTGGCCTGACTGACCATAATTAAAGCATGTGAACCCACCCTGGTCACTTCTCTTCAAACTTGAACTCGACACGAGAAAAGTGGACATAGACTACAAAGCCCGGGATTGTTGCGAGGTAGAACCTCGCTGCCTCTTGTTGTCTCTCGCATCCTCCTGAGACTCCTGCCCTCTCTGCCCGGAGCCTCTCATTTGCTCTTCCTTCATTTGAATCACCACCTTTAAATGGGCCGCTGATTCGACAAGGCACCCATAGTCCCGAATCATAGACCCAACCACCTTGAAAAGGAGTCTGGTCGTGAATCTCTTCTCAAACTCGATACAACGGCGTTCCTCTATTCCTACAAGTTTCGGTGCAAACCTCAAAAGGCTAGTGAATGCTGCTTCATACTCGGCCATAGGTGTGCTCAATAACTTGAGCTTTAGAAACTGCTCTCTTAACTTCTCCCTCGCTGTAGGTGGTCAAAACTTGCCCTGTAAGGCAGTAACCAAAACCTCCCAAGCCACCCTAATACGACCTCTCGCAAACTTCCACTATTGACTCGCGTCACCCTTCAGTTGAAAAGTCGCCAAGGTCACCCTCAAATCGTCGTCTTCGATGCCAAGCATCTCAAACATCTTCACCATCTGCTCAAGGCACTCACTGGCCTTCAATGGCTCTTTTGTATCCCTAATAAACTCATCCAAATTCGACTGGAAGAACTCTGTCTTCAAAAAGGATAGCCTTGTTTCCGTAACATGAACCTGGACTTAATTCTCAGCTTTGAGAATGTTCATGGATTCTTGCAATGCTTCTGCCATTTAAAGGTAATACAAAATTTAGCACATTCACAATGTGCCATAACTAATTCACACATGTCCCAAGAGAAAGGCTACAAAAAATCTCACTCCGCCTAAGCACAGAATCACGTATTCACAAACTAATTTATTTTCTAGATAATGACCTTTCCGTGACATTACTAGAGTTCTTGTTAGAATAAGTAGTGATCAAGTACTCTTCTAATGGGACTTCTAAGAATTTTTAAACAAAACCAATATCTTAAACTAAATTCCATATTCATTTAATCATATAGACATGTTATCACATAGCACACCAGGTATACGTCTATTATTATCTAGCGAGACAAATCCATTGTGTTAATAACCACTTTCCACGAGCCTAAAGTATTCAAACCCGATAAGCTCTGATACCAAGTTGTAACGCCCTAAAAACATAACAACTAACCACCTCTTGACATACAATATAAAATCAAAAAAATTACAAAATATTAACCTTTCATTGATTCTCTTTAACAGTATAAACGATGTCATATGCATGTATATATTCATAAATCCTACATCCTGAATCTATAGCATATGACATGTATGAACATCTTGAAACAAAAAGAAATACAAATAAGTTTATGCCCTAGTGGCTATATATTGGCAAGACGATGCTTGGTTACAACAAAAGTAGGTCAAGCCCAAAACAAGTAAAATCTGAGGCTTGTACAAAAGGTATTTATAATAAAAGAAAAACAAAAATGAGCCTTCAGTTCCACGATTCTCCCAAGTTAAGTCCTTGGCGGAGGCATACCATCAGCACCTAAAAGTTGGTGTCCACTTAGGGTGAGCTAAAGCCTAGTTGAGAATACATGAACACACAGTATGATGCTTAACAAAGTCATATGGTGAATGTATATGTATTCCATTTACCAAAACATTACACTTCCTCTTTCAAAACCATGCAATGCCATGATTATAACTCAATTCGTAAAACAATGTTTTTTAAATCAGAAAGCAGGTCAATGGATATACAACATCGAGAATCTCTAGGTACGTGTCTACCAATAGGCTATACAACCACTACCAAAGTCATTTTAACGGTACTGACCACAAGGATTAACACCCAACTGTGCAGGTTTCTGAACTTTCACCAAGGACACATAGGCCAACAAAGATAATATCACAACCATACGCCTGAACTAGATTCACCAAGGTATTTATCCATTTTTCTTAAAACAATACAATTTCAATGTAAGATGTATGAGCAGTTGATTTCAATTAACATAATTCTCATGCAATTTCTACAACAATCAAAACTATCCTCCATCAATAGCCCAAAACAGATATCTCTATACAAAAGATAAATTTCCAACAACATTTATAATTTCATAATCTCAACATGGGAGTGATAATACATATCCAACTATACCTTTATTAACAATAAATACATCTATTTTATCTTTTCAAAAACTCAACGTCTTTCCCTTTATTCTTAGGTCAAAACCAATATTTTCCAACAAAACATCTATTCCTTTCAAAAACACATTGAAAGGAAAAATTTTCAATATTTCAACACAACATAACAATATACTCATTTCCACAACATTTTCCATGAATCCATTTGAAAACCCCTCTTTTATATTCTCAAAACCAAACCCTAAATCAAACCAACAACTCCCAAATCACAAAACTTTTTGAGGAACACATAACGAGACTATGAATCATACAAGAAGGTTACAGAAATCCGTACCTCAAAAGTAGAAGAAGAAGAGAACAAGACCCAACTTTTGACAGAGTTGAAAATGAAAACTTTTTCAATCAGAATGTACACCTCTATGAGCTCTACACTTTTCTCTGAAGCACTATGGCGGTGTGATCAACGGATTTGCGTGTATTTGGGGTGTTTAGACAAGAACTAGAGAGAGAGAGAGAGAGAGAGAGGGAGAGAGAGAGGGAGAGAATTTTTTATGTAAAGTTAACTTTTAAAGAGAGAGAGAGAGATCAAAAAGTGACTGAAAAGATCTTTTTCCCGTACTGATATACACACAGGCCACTCAAGCGGCCAAAATACTGCTCGAGCGTCAGACACAAGAAACTGCTCAAGTGAACAATTCAAGGCTCGAGCGCACAATGACCTATTTCCAGTAGTTCACACCTGCAAAATATTGCTCGAGCGTCAGACATAGAATACCACTCGAGTAACCAGGCCTTGGCTCGAACAAAGAACACCCTTCTCAAAAGTCTAGATTGTAAACACAGATACTAAAAGGAACCAAAGACCGCTCGAGCGAACCTAAAGAGAAACATGCAGAAAATCTTTTGAAAAACAAACTCCTAACCTATTCACAACACAACCAAATAACTCCAAACGACCAATCCACACTACAACAAGGCAACAAGGAGTATAAACAACAACCAAGTTCATCGAATCCCGGTTCAAGAATACAAAAGGGTATGGTTTTTACCCGAGTTAATATAAAAACTTTATTGATGATATTGCATACATACATATGGGAAATACATCAATAAAGAGAAGAGAGTGCAACAAGCACCATTATAGAAACCCCTAATCCTAAATAGGTTGGTACCAAAAAGCCTATACAATCATATGCTAACATTAGCCTCAAGATTGGTGAGAAACCAACAAAGAACAAGGTACAAAAAGAACAAACAACTACCAAGTCTCAAACATGTGCAGAGCACCCCAAAATGTTCACCATGTGGAAACATGCATTATTCCACAAAATTCTAGAAAATTCATTATTGGCCCTAATCCTCTACTAATCCTAACCAACTAGATAACTTTTCAAATGGGTTAGTGTGAGAAGCTCTACCATCTCTCTAGAAATTCCTAAATATCTAGGGCTTCAATATCTCATTCATAACGATGGTACAGTCTCTATCTTCAGAAGTGGTTTCTTCTAGGGCTATAGATAAAGCGAGGGTTTTGGTTCTACTTGAGAATTTGGGTTTAGGGCAAGATGAATTGGTGGGTTTTTTTAAGGAGGATGGATCTTCGAGTAATCCTAACAGTGTGAACATGGGGGGTGAAGGTAATCTCAGCCCTAGTGTGAGATCTTTTGCTGTGTCTATGGAGGGTTTACGATCGAAGATTTTAGCTATGGGTTCACAGGGTGCTGCTTCAGCGTTCAACCTACTCCAGTCTAGATGGTCGGACATAGTTGAGATGGAAGGGGGAGAGAAGGCTGTCATTGATAGTTTCAAAGACATTCCTAATAGCTTGGTTGTGGCTAGGGCTAGAAATCTGGTATCTAAACTTAATCAACAACCCAACGAGATTTCTTCGGACAAGATTAGGGGAAAATTGGATTTGAGTGCAGATATTCCATGGGATTCGGGGGCTCAAAGTTCTAGGGGTCAACAGAGGGGAGGTAGATCGGAATTTTCTACTACTAGTAGGGGAGGCCAAGGAGGTCGGGGTCAGGGCCCTCACCCAGGTGGACCGAATGAATTTTCAGCAGTAGTAGGGGAGGGGACAACACCTAAACTTGTTGAAAAGAGCTGGGCATCTGTTGTTGCATCTAATCAGAGGTCCTCTGTTAAGTTAAGGAACTTTCCTCCCTATGTAGTGGACAATGACATAGTTATGGATCTCCCTAAAAGCGATGATATTGAAAAATAGGAAGCCACTCTCGTGGGCCATTTTCTGGCAAAAAATATGAATATTGCATACATTAGGGCATAAGCCCCTAATTTATGAAAAAATAAGGGTTTGAAGTTGGTGTTGTCTACTGCTAATGGGTTTGTCTTCTTTATGTTTGATACAATTAATAGTAGTACTGCTGTTTTAGAGGATGGCCCTTGGTTCATTGGTGGACATTTTATTGTGCTCAAGAAATGGCATAGCATGATGAAATTATCTAAGGACCAACTAGATAAAATACCCATCTGGGTTAAACTATTTAATGTTCCTATAGAGCATTGGGATGATGATGGTCTGGGTAGGATAGCTAGTGCTATTGGTGAGCCTCTTTACATGGATAGATTAATTGCTCATGGAGATAGGGTATCATTTGCAAAAGTTTGTGTAGAGATTGGAGTTGATTCCATTTTGCCCACTGATTTCCTTATAAAATGTGAGGGTAAAAGTATTGAGGTGAGGGTGGAGTATCTGTGGAAGCCTGCCAAATGTACTAAATGTAAGGTTTTTGGTCATGCTGATGATAGATGTATCAAAACTCAAGTGGAAACTATTGTTCAGAGTTCTATAGAGCAACAAGTTCAAAATAGTGATGAGGAATGGAAGACAATTGTGGCTAAAGGCAAAAAGAAGGTGGGTGAACCCTCAATTGAGGTCTCTAATATAGCAAGGCAAGATGGGGGTCAGGTTGATTATGGGGTTCAAGACGTCCCAGTTACTGGTATATTATCCAAGATTGAGATAGCTGCCTCAACTGAGGTCACTGATGTTGCATGGCAACATGGAGGTCAGGATGTTTGTGAGGTTCAAGAGGTTCCAATTACTGGTTCATCATCAGAGATTGTGAAAGCTGGGTCTGAGGAGCCCGAATCTATATTGGATCCTTCAGAACCTGATCCTGAAATCCAAGAAAATCTTTAAGCTTTGAGGAGGAAGTGGCTGACAGAGTGATGTTGACTCAAAGGATGGTGAGAAGTGCTGCTAAACCTACTGCTCCTAAGGCTACTGGTTCTTCTAGTAGCCGTAGGAAGAAAAAGAGGTAAATCCTAACTTCATGTGCTATCCCCACAGTGTTGTGTGTGTGATCTTTATGTACATATTTCTTTATGTCTAAAAAGATTTGTGCTTGGAATGTTAGGGGTCTAAATGACCCTAGTAGGCAAAGAGAAGTTACTACATTTTTGAAGGAGGACATTAATATTGTTGGTTTGCTTGAAACTAAAGTGATTGATAATAATCATGTTAGAATTCTTAACCATGTTTTGCATGATTGGGTAAGTTTGGCTAACTATGGGCATCCTATTTTGGGGAGGATTTGGGTTTGTTGGAATCCTGCTTTTTGTACTATTGATGTCCTAGATAGCTCCGGTCAACACATGTAGTGTAAAATTAAAGTTTTAAATGGGGATATTCACTTTTTTGCCTATTTTATATATGCTCAAAATGCGTATGGCTTGAGAAGGCCTCTATTTAATAAGTTGGAGGTTTTGACCCCATTGTATAGGGACTCTCTGTGTATTCTCTTAGGGGATTTCAATGCTATTAGGTTCCCATATGAGAAAGTGGGAGGGGACCATAGTTGGTCGTCTTGTAAAAATGAATTCAATTTGTTTATTAATCAATCTGAGCTTGATGACTTGAACTATGGGGGTTGCCAGTTTACTTGGGCTAACAAATAGTAGGAGGATAGATTTATTTCATCTAAGATTGATAAGGCGTTGGTTAATGGGTTGTGGCTCAATAATTTGCCTCACTCCCATGCTTATTTCCATCCTTTTGGGACCTCTGATCACTCTCGTTGTGTTGTTACTATGCCTTTGAAAATTCATAGGGTGTGTAAGCCATTTAAATTTTTTAACATGTGAGTTGATCATCCGGATTTTATACCTGTGGTTAGGGGTGTTTGGTGTAAGTATGTCAAAGGTTCTCCCTTGTTGAGGATTTGCAGTAAGCTTAGGTCTTTAAAGCCTGAGCTAAAAGCTCTCAATAAGAAGCATTTTAGTGATATCTCGGTGAGACCTTCTTGGGCCAAAGAGGATCTAGATATAGTTCAACTTCAACTTGATAAAAATCTTGGTGACTCTAATCTTCAATCCCTTGAGTGGGATCTTTGAGCTAATTTTTCTAAACTTTGCAAAGAGGAGGAGTCATTTACTACCTAGAAATCGAGAATTCAATGGCTTAGCTTGGGTGAAAGTAATAGTCGGTTCTTTTTCCCTTCTATTAATAATAATAGAAACCGTAGCAGGATTAGTAGTGTTATGCTGGATGATGGGAGCATTATTGTTGATCCGCATGACGTCAAATCTGCTTTTGTTTCTTATTTTGAAGGGTTTTTAGGGAAGCCATTTGTTGATAGGTACAGTGGTGGGTCTAGAGTCCAGGAGCTTATTAAGAGGAAGCTCTCTCCTGCTCAGGCGGAGGAGTAGACTACTGATGTTTTGGAGTGTGAGATTGAGAGTGTTTTTCGGTCTCTCAATAGTAATAAGGCTCCTGGGCCTGATGGTTATTCGGCTAGTTTTTTTAAGAGTTCCTGGGATGTGGTTGGTAGGGACGTTATTCAAGCTATTAAGTCGTTCTTCCATTCTAGTGAACTTCTTAAAGAAGTTAATAGTACCTCTAATGCTCTTGTTCCAAAGGTTCCAAATCCTAGCAAGGTGGGTGACTATAGACCTATTTCTTATTGTAACATGGTGTATAAGTGTATTGACAAAATTTTAACAAATAGGATTAAGAAGGTCCTCCCTGATGTTATTGATCCAATCCAGTCTGCTTTTGGTCAAGGGAGGAGGATTTCAGATAATAGTTTCCTTTCCCAGGAATTGCTGAGAGGTTATCATAGAGGTTCTGGGTCTCCTAGGTGTGCGATGAAGGTTGATATCATGAAAGCCTATGATGATTTGATTTTTGATACTCTTGCTGGTATGGGTTTCCTTAGTAGGATGATTGGCTGGATTAGGGCTTACATTACTAGTCCTTCTTTCTCGATCTGTATTAATGGGGAGCTTTGTGGCTATTTTCGGGGTGCTAGAGGGCTTAGACAAGGGGACCCTATTTCCCTTTACCTGTTTGTTATTGTTATGGAGGTTTTAGCTAGGGTGTTGGCTGAGAAAGCTGAGAGTCCTGATTTTAAATTCCACTAGAGGTGTGAAAAGAACAAAATTATTAATCTTTGTTTTGCTGATGACCTCATGATCTTTTGTAGAGGGGACATTAGTTCTGTGTCTCTTATCAATGAGGCTCTTGATGAATTCCAAGGGCTCTTTGGTCTGTCCCCCAGTCCTCCTAAGAGTCATATGTTTTTTCTAGGGATGGATTGTCACTTAAGGGGTGAGCTACTCTCCATTATGGATTTTAAAGAGGGGAATCATCCTGTGAGGTATTTGAGGGTTCCTCTTATCTCAACTAAGCTGCGTAAAATAGATTGTGATCAATTGGTGGCTAGGATTACCAAGAGGATTCAATTGTGGACCAATAAAGTGTTGTCTTATGCAGGGAGAGCCCAATTTATTAAATCTATCTTGTTCTCTATGTAGGTTTATTGGGCTTCATTATTCATTCTCCTTAAGAAAGTGGTAAGGGAGATTGAATCTTGTTTGAGAGCTTTCTTTTGGAATGATCTTGATTTGGAAAAGACTGGAGTAAAAGTTGCTTGGGTGCATCTTTGTGTTCCTCGGAATGAGGGTGCTCTAGGGTTTAAATCTATTGAGGTGTGGAATAAAGCTGCTATTGCCAAGCATGTTTGGTTTTTGCTGTTGGGGGGTGAGCAATCCATGTGGTGTCAATGGGTTAAGTCTTACTTGTTAAAGGGTAGAAGTTTTTGGTGCCTCAAAGTTCCTAGTGACCTTTCCTGGGTTTGGAGAATGCTTCTTGATTTGAGAAGTATTATTGCTCCCCTGATTAAATATAATGTTGGTAATGGGAAGGCAACTTTCTAGTGGTTTGACAACTGGCTCCCTCCTGGGCCTCTTTTTAATAGATTTGGAGAAAGAGTTATTTCTAACTCTGGGATCCAAAAGTTTGAGAAAGTGGAGTCTGTTATCTATGGCTGTAGGTGAAAATGGCCTGTGTGTCGTACTTGGGAGTTGAATAAGATTAAGGCTGCTGTCCTGGCAGATATGAAGACTTCTTTAGTGAATGATAAGGTGGTGTGGCTGCCATCTTTTGATGGGCAATTCTCTATTAAGTCTTCTTGGGACAAGTGGAGGACCCACGGTTCTAGAGTTGCTTGGGCTAAGATCCTGTGGTTCAAGTTTCATATTCCTAGAATAAGTACTGTGGTTTGGGTTGCTATCCATAATAGACTGAACACTCTTGATAGGCTTGTTGTCTTTGGTTCTAGCAACTCTGCTATTTGCTGTCTCTGTGGGGTTGGGCCTGAGGATCATAATCACTTGTTCTTTAAATGTCCATTCTCTTATAGAGTCTGGAATGTTATGGAGGGTATGTGCAATTTGACTATTCCTTATCTTGACTAGACAGATTTGGTGGATTGGTTAACCAGGAATATCAAGGGCAAATCTTTGGCTGCTACTATTTCTAAACTTGTGTTTACTTGTTCTGTTTATTGTATTTGGACTGAGAGAAATTGCAGGATTTTCAAATGCTCAAAATCCACTGAGGTGGCTGTGCAAGCTAATATTAGAAGCCTTGTGAGAAACAGGATCTTGTCCATCTCAAGTTTCAAAGAGGAGGTGACAAATGCTTGGTTTATGGTGAAGTGGTCCCTCCCAAGCTCTATCCTGAAATCAAGTCAAGGTTAGCTTGGGGTGGTCTGGTTTTATTTGTGTTGTTTCTGACTGGGTGTTAATTGCAGGTCTCTTTGGTTGGAGTGTTGGTCTTTTATTAGCGATGTGAGTTGAGTGTGTGTGAGGTTACTTCATAAATGTTTGAGTGAGATTGTGAGTTTGTGGGTTGAGTGGCTACAACAAATTAATCTTTATCTCACAGTTTGTTGTGCAGGTTTTTAGCTAACCCTTGTTATTAGGGAAGTTGGGTTGAGTGGTGGTGAGTTCCTATATTAGGGCTATGTGTGAGGAGGGTTTTATATGCTATTGTGAGTTGAGTGTGGTGAGTTCCAATAACTTTCTAATTATTTTTGGTGCAGGTACTCAACTGGTCTATCTTAGGGGAGTAATTCTTTGTGGGTTGAGTGATTAAGGCATATATTGTTGAATAGTTTTTGTGTTGTGTCTCATACATTATAGTTAACTGTTGTGTGTAGTGTTTGAGTGTTCTTGAGTGTTGAGTAAAGGCTAGCAGCGTCTTGTGAGTTTTTGTAGTTAACTATTGTTGAATTGTCATACTGATTTGGTGATTGCTTGGCCCTTTTAGGATCATTTGTCTGAATGATGGCCTTGAGCAAGTAGCCCAGTTTTGTAGATATTGTGCCAATTTGTTGAATGTTAGCTTCTGGGTGCTGTTGCTATTGTTTTTTCTACTATTTTTGGAGTTGTGGCCTGCTGCTATGGTGTGGACTGCTGCTATGTTGTGGCCTGCTGCTATCCTGGGTGTTGCTGTTGCTATGTTGTTTGTTCTACAATATGAAATTTTAAGATATTAGCTTATTTATGATGGGCTCTATTGGTTATTTTGTAGTCCCAGGTCTTGTTTTGGCTTTGCACATGGCCTTTTTGTGTTGGTTGGCTTTCTTTTGTGTTTGTTTTGGGATCTGTTTTTTGGTCCAGTTATCTCTTGGCATTTCCATTGGGCAAGTTTTGTGTTGGCCCTATTCTTGCCCCTCATTTGTTCATGAGGTGTTTGAATAGGTTTCTGTCTTCTTGTTGCTTTAGTTTGTTGTTGCCTGTATCTCGTATAGTTGGTTAGCTCCTGAGGTATGCCTCTTGTAGTTTGTATTTATTTGTCCTTTTTAATTTATGACTTATTCACCAAAAAAAAAAACTAGATGATTTAAATAAAAG